CTTTCCAATTGTGTATACATACTTATAAGTAAGCAGAAACAATTGGCTAACTACATGAAAGACATAATGTACATACACATATCTACATGACATCTATGTAGTTACCAGAATCATTCTGTATTCTGTAAAATTATGTGCCAAAATATTCTTTAAAAATTCACATAAAAAATCTTTAGAATGTTATTAAGGTTACACTTTTTTTTTATTTTATTTTGCAATATTATTTTTATAATTTTTTAAAACAATTTATTTATAAACTTAAATGATAAAAGCAAACATAAAAATAAACGGTAGGTAGTATAAGTTTTAATGAATGAACAAGTTTTAAAATTTTGTTAGTTTACACACGTGCTCTCTTTTAAATTAAAAGTTAAAATTAATTTAGCTACATACATACATATATAAAATTTAAATGAATATTAAAATAAATTTATTATTTTTCTTATATACATATACATAGCGTATGTCTGCATGTATTTTGTTGTATGGAAGAAAATATTTTTTCTGACAGAAATTATTTCTTTTATTTTGACAATGAATAATGGATTCCACTATTCTCTAAGTTTAAGAAAATTAAGCAATTGATTTATGAAAAATAACAACATGTATAACATTTAGGATTATGTTTGTTAGAAAACAAAGATTTCTTATAAATAAAATGTATAACACTTTATTAATTTTACATTGCATATAGGTATGTGTGTTTATACCAAGCATGTATAGAAAGCATATGTACCTACCGATATACATTATGCTCACCACATTTAATTATTTTCAAAATGACAGATTCACATTAATAATCAAAATTGATTAATTTTGTGATTTGCAATTAACACGTGTACTGTCAATTTGTGACATTTCGAAATTTCAGAATTGACTTATTAACTAGAAATAAGTAAGTAATTATGATTATTCTTAACTCTATATAGCTATCATTATTTAAAAGAGTATTAGAAATTTAATAGGAATATATACAAAACGTTTGTGAATTCTTATAATTTTTATAACAGTTAACATTTTATAAAAAATATAGTACCTATTTATATAAATTTTTTATATGAAATTTTCTAAATAACCTTTATACCTTAAAACCATCATTAAAATTATTATCTTTTATTAGAATTCCGAAAATTCAAATTGTTATACATATAAATGCATTAATATTGTTTATTAAAAGAACATACAATAAAAATATAAAATTTGATAAATTAGAATAATTTATAAGATTCCAAAATAAATACGTATGCATGTGCTTATTATGTGTATGCACACATTTATGTACATGCAAACATATTATACTTATGTACGTCAGTATATGTATAAGTTGAAAAAATTTAAAGAATGAATTAAAAATAAAATATAAATAGAACAGTTGACAACAGTTTCTGAGGTAGGCGAATATTTTATATTAAAATAAATTGAATTCTCATACAATACACCATTATAAATAATTAATTAGTTAAATAATATGTATGGGAATATTAAACGTTTTATGGTTTTTTATCTCTTCTTCTTTTTTTACTCTAGTTGCCAAATTAATATCTAATATCGTTTGACAAATTTCAATTTCTTCAGTATATAAATATTAATTACATAAACATATATGTGTAACCACTTTGTACATATACATACATACATATCTAGACTACTGCGGTTTATTTCATATTATAGTACGATCATAATTTTATTGTAGTATACTACAAAAATTTACACACATAAATATAAAGTGAATATAAATTTATATAGCAACAGATATTTAATACATACCTAATAAGAAATATACATTATGTATAAGTACATATGAATGTTCAAAAATTTATTGTATTTGATTAAAATAATAAGGATTGAATGATCTTAAATTTAAATAATTAATTTGTATCCGGTTTTTTTCGTTATATACATATCTAATACATACACACAATGTAAATATACATATCCATACATATATATGGTATATGTATATCGATATATTGTATAGAAATTTTATAAAACTTTACATGTACCTTTCTATATTTTAGATGTCAATAGCATAAGATTTGTCAACTCAAATTTTACACCGTATAGGAATAAAACAAAAGAACAAGATAAATAAGGATGGTCAGCAAGAAAACAAGTGAAATGTTGAACGAGGAAGTAAAATTAAATAAAGTTGGGTCAAACCAAGGGTTTGTAAAGTAGCACTTTTTCCTTCAACAAGCAAAATACTGCTTTTAAAAACGATGTACTACATTATTAAAACTACGTTCATTTATTTTACCAAATTATTTTAAAAATTGCATACATTTGGGATGAGGCAAAAGAAAAACATTGAAAGAGGCGTTAACTAATGTTCGAATTTAAGGGTTTATTGCGTGATTTATGAAAAATAATTATATTTTTTCAAGACTTGGTAAGTGCCATTTTTTTTTTATTAAAGAAAGTTTTTTGCAATTTATAGAAATTTGAAAAAACCTACAGTTTTCGTACGGACTACGGAAATATAAGTGGCCGAATATTCGAATTTTACAAATTTCGAGCGGCGATAAGATAAAAGCGGATGCGATAGAAAAAAATTTTCACTAATTTTTTGGACGGACAGAGTGAAACTAATAAGCGTTTTTTTTCAAAATTGCTAAAAAGAAGGAAACACACAACAAAAAACCAACATTTTATGAGAATTGAATTAATTTTGTCATTTTTTTTTTCGTTTTGTTATGTATATACACACTAAAGTATGTACATAACCTACTGATTTTTTCAAATTATGTATATTTGTGACAGTTAATTATAAATTACATATATATAAATGCGCATTTGCGAATTTTTAATTAAATAAAACAACATGTATCTACATACATATATGTATGTAAAGGCTGAGGTGAAATTCTGTTAAAGAAATTTCGCTACCTTATTTAATATTTCATGAGGGTTTTTTTTAATATTATAGTAAAAATACGATACATGCATACATACATACAAAAAAAGAGAACACAACAGGTGATAATGAACTTTTTTCTCATATTTATATTATGTTGTATATGTATTTGTGTGTATGTAAACTTTTGTGCCAGTAACATTTTCTTTATTTTAAAAATGTTTGTTTTTAGCACTTTTCGAAAAAATTTTTTGAAAAAAGTGCTTATTAGTTTCACTCTGTCCGTCCGTCCGTCCGTCCGTCCGTCCGTCCGTGGACACTTTTTTTGTTTACAAAACTTCTACACCCTTGAAGATAGAAAGCTGAAATTTCATACGTACATAGATCTTCACTAGAAACTTATTTCCGTAGAACAAAATTTTTACCTATCTCCCCCCCTCTAGAAGTTATACCCCTCCAAAACCCTAAAAATGGCCTTTTTTAAATATTTGTTGCAATGAAACCATAAGCATTTTTGAAATTTTTCAAACGCAGAAAGGCAGCGACTTGCTTCCCCTAGCGCGGTATACTATAGTTAAACTTTAGAAAAACAAAATGGCCGTTCAAATTTACTGTTATCTAAAGTTCTTTTTTTCCAAATTTTTGATCTCGTTTTTCTTCTAGACCCCATAATGTAGAGCTTTGAAATTTTAGGGGCTTTTAGACATTAACAAATAGTTCATTTCGTTAGAAGAAAATTTTTTTCCATCTAAACCCCCTCTCTAGTTATCGCCTCTTGAAATTTGTAAAATTTGAATTTTTGACACCTTATATTTCCGAAACCGCAAGTTTTTTCAAATTTTTATAAACGCAAAAAGCTAACGGTAAATTCCATGAAACTAAAAAATATAATTATTTTTCTTAACTCACACAATTAACCCTTAAAATCGAGCATTATGTTAACCCCTTTTTATATTAATTTTTGCTTTATTTCAAAGACTGCATATATGCGTCATCCTAAATATAGGCAATCCTAGAAATAGTTTTATAAATGAATGAAAATAGTTTTAATAGTGTGATGGGTATGCATAGACTGTATTTAAAAGCAGAATTTTCACTTGTTGAAGGGAAAAGTGCTACAATACAAACCATTGGTTTGACCCAACTTTATTTATTATGTTTATTTTCTTCTTGCATAATTATATGAAATCGGTTTGTAATAATCGTTTACTAAACTGCTGTTGCTTTATACTTTTATATTATATGTACATATGTATCTACATATGTATGCTATATTATATTTACATATTGAATCGCATGTGGCCATATCAATTCTTATTGGAAAAATATATAAAGGCATATTGAAATTTTTATGTATTTACTAATATTACTAATGGCTCTGCATGTTATGTACATACATAAATATGTGTGCATATACTTAATGATGTAATTTCTATCCATCAATATGAAATAAATATTACCCAAAAAGAATGTTTTCATGGGATCACTACATATATGTATATTTGTCAGCACAAACATGTATACATAATATGTAGGTACATACAATACATTGGATTTTTAAATATTGATGTTTTTTTTTAGTTTAATTTAAGTTTAATTTAGTTTTTAAATATCACAAAATTCGGTTTACTTTTTTAAGACCGCATACCTTTGCATGTGCAAACATATTCATATTTTATTAATCATTACAATATTCATATCTGTATATATATGCATAGTATGTACTTTTGCTTTTATTTTCAGCGAAATGAAATTGAAAATTACATAAGAATCAAAGAGGTAATCAAACAACAAAATCCCTACATATGCATTTGATATGTATTGTATATATACTATGTACATACGTATAAACCAGAATTATATCGTAAATAATATATGTATATATGCATGCATATGCGTATGCCTATATCCATTCTAGACAACGAACCAAGTTGTTCCAAAATTCTATTATTCTATATTCTATATGTTAAATAATTGAAGCTTTAATTTTAGATATTTTAATGAGATACTCGATTTAAATATAATAACTAAGTATATAGAATGGAATATTTAAGCCAATTACAATACTTAATTAGAATTGAATTACTTAATTCTATGAAAAAAATTAATTTTAATATAGTTATTAAATAATATTAATTAAACTCACCCTGGTGGACATAAAAATATATTAACTGAATCTTGTGCATATTTTACTATAGCACCTAATGATGCTGCAACTACTTTTCCTGGTATTGTACCAATATGCCATATTCTTTCTTCTAAAGACATTAAAAAACAATTTTCTGATTTAGTAGAATTTGTTGAAATATTACGTCGTCGTCGATGAATCATTTGCAATTTTTATTTCCATTTATAGATTTTTATTTTATAAAATATTTATTTTTTTTTTATTAATTTTCTCTTGGCCTAAAACTTTCTCTGATTTAGAGATTAACACTATATTGCATATAATATTTTATATCTATGCCTAAATATGTTTTTATTTATAAAAATTTTGGTAATTTATGTTTTTGTCAAACAAAAAAATAAAAAAATTGGCACTTTTCACTTTCTTTATATTGAATTAATTTAAAAATTTCAATTTAGTTCAAATCTTAATATATTAATTCTAATATAACTAAAAAATCTAAAAATAAAAGAATTTTTTAATTAAATAATGAAAAATAATTGTAATTACTAATTCTAATGTAATATTTTTCTTAAATACGGCAGCACATGTTTTAATTTTACAAATAAATAATCTAGTTCCTTTATTACTTCTATTAAGTAATATTTTTACTTTCTTAACTAAAATTTTCTAAAAATTCTAATTTATGAAACTTGAAAAATTAATTCAAGACCCATTATAAAATTAGCGGCACATATTTCTAGATACACAAACATATTTTATATAAATACATATGCACTCGCAAAATTAATTCACAAACTGAAATTCAATAATTAAAATTTCACTTTATTGAATTAATAAGATTGGTAAACCTATTAAATTATGAATCATACAAAGCAGGGTGGTATAACAAACATAAAAATCAATTAAAATACGATAAGAAAATTGGATTTATCTGTGTATGTATGAAACTGAACTGATTTTAATTCGCGCAATAATAAAAACTACTAATGTTCTAATTAATTCTTTTTTTAAATATTTTTAATTATTAAATTTTAATTAATAAAATTTATCTCTACAAATATTCATTTTTAAATTGTTGCATCACTTTTATAATTCCAGATGTAATTCACTAAATAATTAGAGCCGGTTTGTTTAATTAAATTAAAATTTGAAATTTTTTAACATTAAACGCTTTTTATTTTATAATTAAAAAAACAAATAATATTAAATTATTTCAAAATTTCAAACAAATTTTATTCAAGGAAAAATTAATTAATTTTATTAGAATCATTTGTTTTATTGCAACTTATTAATAGCAAGACAATATAATAATTAATATTATTAGCATAATAAAACAATTTAAGTATTAACATTTTTATTATTTATAATTTTATTCCCTGTAATTTCAATTTAATATTGAATTGAACAAAATTTTTTCTATTATATGTAAGTACGTTATTATCCTCTGGTCGCAAAATTAATACTAAAAAAAAATATAACAACACTTTAATTGTAATCAAATTGTATTTCACAGTAAATTTACTATTTTCCTTCATATTTTAAATTTTTAATTTCTGAAAAATCATTCTTTCTTTATCAGTTGATTTTATTTTGTTAAAAATCAAACTAGATATTCACTTATTTGGAAAAAAAAAAAATAAAAATTTTAAAATTTATTTAAAAAAAATCATAAAGAAAATCGTTATTCTTGAGACCTTTACAACTTACTTTGTTATACTTTGAAATATGTATGCATGTGTTTTCGCCAATAGAAGTCCAAAAAAAAAGCAGAAAGTATAAAAATAATAAAAAAAAACATAAAAACAATTTTTATCAAGTTTTAAAATCGTGTACTATAAGTTACTCGTGTACAAAATTCAGTAGACACAAACACAATACAGGAAAAAAAAAATATGAATAAAGTTCAACTTATCTTGACCATAAAAATCATAATTATAACAAAAAAAACAATGGAAAAATTAAAAAGTAAACAATTTTTTGATATCTATACCACCCTGTAGATTTTAAAGACACTATCAAATAAGCTACTATACGGTGTCATGAAATTATTTCGATTAAAATTGCTGCTCCTTTCAATTGCTTTTAAGTTAGCATATGTTGAGTAGTTATGTGTCTATGTGTGTTTATCCAATAATTCTAAATCATTTTTGTATATATATGTATACTTATTTATACACAATATTCATGTGGAATAATTTCACGACACCAGAACATACAAAATTATTTAAAAAAAAAAGCACTAAAAAGCTTTTTCAAATTAAATATTATTAAATTTCAATAAAAAATCAAAATTAAAAAAGAGAAATTAATAAAGAATGTTAGTGCCTTTACTATTTATAAATTTCCCATCGTATTTTTTACATTATGTACATGCATACATATTTATTTATACTTGTACGTAAACTGTTACGCATATTGCGTGTAAGCTCATTAAGAAAAAATTAAAAATTTAAATTAATCTAAAACAGTGATATTTTCTTGATTTAATTTTAATATTTTATTAAGAAATTCAATTTATATACATATTTACACATATCCATACGTATGTATGTACATTATGCTAAGCACTAAATTATATACATACATATGTACATATGTAAGTATTATCACTTTTGATTTTGCACTATTTATTTTAAGTACGAGTATGAATTATTAGCTAGTACACAGTAGATATAACAAACATGTAGTTATGTTGATTAAATTTATAAATAAAAATATTTCACAAAAATACTAATTTATAATTATAAAAATGGCCTTATGTACTTATGTATGTATACATATGTGCAATGTACATACATACGTACAAGCATATAAAGTATAACAGATTTTTCTTTCTCTTAAAACTAGTACATAATCAAAATTTTATTAATAGTATTTAAACGATTTATAAATGAATTTTATTTTTTATTTCACAAAAACTCTGCATGATCGAAATAATAAAGAAAATAATTCATTTCGCATTACACAAAAGGTAAAAATAAAAAGAACTGAACGCGACCTTTTAATTTAATTTTTTTTTTTTTTTTTTTGCAATTTTTTATGAAACGATCATATTTGGCTGACGCGACTTATTGCGGTGACAATATACGCACACTTTTTAACATATTTATGTATGTATTAGTTTGTTCACATTTATATACATTTACTTATGTATAGTTGTTAAAATTTAATAAAGAAAAAAAAAGTTATTTACTTGAAATTCGTGTTATATACTTATTTATGTATGCATACGCAAAATAATAGCGAAATGACAAGCGACAAAAGCGGAAAAAAGTAATATGACGGTGGCTTGCGGTGGTCTCGTATTTGTTAACAAAAAAAAAAAATAAAGGAAACCGATAAAAACAAATTAACAAAAAAAAATTGTTTTATTTTTTCGTCTTCTGTAAAATAAGTTTTTTTTTTCGGTCTGTCTATTTGATCAGGTGAAATAATACTAAACACTTAAATAAACTTTTATTTCTCAGATTACTCATATCTTTTTTTTATATATATTATTATAATAATATTCTCATCATCCATATGTTCTCATTTAATTTAAGGTGGGCATGGACAATCAGACTACTAACATAAAAAGAGAATATTGAGTACAATACAATAATATTAAGCGCATATATTTATTTTTCTGTTGATCGACAAAACAAAAATAAATTTAATAAAATTAAAATAAAATTAGTGTTATTTTTTGTTGTAGGTTTTGATTTTATTTTTTTTTTTGTTTTTTATTTTGCTTTAATTTTTGTTGACAAACTACTCTAAGAACGTCAAATTATTATTAGCTTTTCGTTTTAGTAGCTATTGACTATAAATAGACAATACAATATATGTATATAGTATAGATAGATAGATACATACATACACATTATGTACATAGTTATGTGAATATGACATAAATAATTAATTATAATGAGTTGAAAAAAAAAAAAACAAAACATTGAAAATAACTCTAGTCTAAATCGCTTCGCTAGGCTATTCAAATCACTAATGAGTATCAACAACATAATAAACGAGTAGGTAAATTAATTTTTGGGAGAGTTTGCATATGCTCATTTTATTGAGTGAATAACAGAATAATATTAATATAACTGAATGTGTTTTGTGTATGTGTTGTTATTTGAAATTCGAAAAATAAGAATATTTAATTTATTTTAGTTAAAAGCTACATACACATTAACATATTATTGAAATTTACAGAAAAATTGTTAATTGATTAAGGAAGAGAAAGGAAAAAAGCTCCAATTTTTTCTCTTTTTATAATAAAATAAATAATTCTTTTTTATATAAATACATATGTATATATATATACATATATGTATATATATAAATACATGTTGCTGTTAATGTGAACTTTCGTAATAACACAATCTGACCCTGTAATGATTTTTCACCGATTTGAAATATAAAGTGAAAATTAAAAGTAACATGTACCATATATTTATTATTTTGTTTGATCAGTCGAATCATTCTAATTTCAATAAGAGAATATGATGTTATGTTAACAAATTATCGTTAATTATATATTCAACAACATACACATGAATATATGTCTGTATATATGTATGTTGTATATGCAGATTTATAGAAATGATATGTATTCGTGTGTTTGTAGGTATGTGCTTAACATGATGTTTTAAATCGCCGCTATAATTTTGTTAAATATCAATGTACATACATATGTACTTATTTATGTACATATGTATTTGGCTTATTCATCAATTGACTCTATGAATGAAATTTGAAAAGTTGAGATCACTTTTAAGGTAAACCGTTTTTAATACCTATTATTATTTGTTGTTGATTGAATATTTTCAAATAAACAATAATAAGCTCTGTGTTAATATTGATAATTGGATATAGATACATACGTATGTATGTAAGAATAAAACCATTAACATATTAAATATGTACTTTATTAAGTACGTAGATACTTAAATTATACATATTTATAATATTTATTCTAATTTAATTATACAGGTTAATGAAATTAAGATTATAGAGAATAACGCTTATATGAAACGGCTTCATAATATAATTTAATAAATTGTATTGAAAATGGCGAGAAAATTCTCAAACTACCGCAATTTTTATTTTAACACTTAAATAGGATGTACATAATATATGTATATAAGGTCATATTTATGTATATGAATGTGTGTATGTACATACATTTATTTTGAAAAATGATACATCAATAGCATATTAAGTCATAATTAGACATATTTATTTAGTTTTATTTATTTACAATACTATTACTATATTTTGGTACATTTGTCAT